GGTCATGTAGTCCAACCCCCTGCAATACAGGAATCTCAGCTAAAGCACCTGTGACAGATGGCCATTCAACCTCTGCTTAAAAACTTCCAAGGAAGGATCGAGCCCACAACCTCCCAAGGGAGACCGTTCCACTGTCGAACTCCTTTTGCTGTTTTTTCTGATGTTTAGTCAAAATCTCCTTTCTTAAATTCCATTCCACAGTGCAGAGAACTGTTTGGGCATTGACTGAGCACATGAGCTCGCATAGGTTTCTCACCTCCCTTGGCTGCCAAACCCAGAGACAGGGGTTGCCTGGTATGCTGCGCGGAGGACCTTAAGGTCCACAAACAACAACACTTTGGAGATCCCAAGCCTCAAGGAGGTTAGATTGGTTTCAGCTAGGGCCAGGGCCTTTTCAGCACTGGCCCCGACGTGGTGGAATGCGCTGTCACAAGAGACCAGGGCCCTGCGGTACTTGATATCTTTCCGCAGGGCCTGCAAGACAGAGCTGTTCTGCCTGGCCTTTGGTTTGGACTCAGTCTGACCCTTATGTTTCCCTCCCCTTATGGTTTTGATCTATTGGCTGCATTTTGAATTGCATTTTAACCTGTATTTTAAATTGCTTTTCCCCCCCCTTCTCATGTTTTTACTGTGATTTTATTGGTGTTAGCCGTCCTGAACCCGGCTCTGGCCGGGGAGGGCGGGGTATAAATAAAATTTTATTATTATTATTATTATTATTATTATTATTATTATTATTATTAACTCTCTGGTTGCCCATGATGTAAGATGAACCCTGTAGGAGCAGGCCAGTGTCCCATCTCATGACCAACCAGATGTCCCAGTGGGAAGCCTGAAAGCAGAACATGAGTCCAAGAGCCCTCTCAGTGTGGAGCCAGAGTGTTGTATTGGTTAAGAGCGGTGGACTCGTAATCTGGTGAACCGGGTTCGCGTCTCCGCTCCTCCACATGCAGCTGCTGGGTGACCTTGGGCCAGTCCGACTTCTCTGAAGTCTCTCAGCCCCACTCACCTCACAGAGTGTTTGTTGTGGTGCAGGAAGGGAAAGGAGAATGTTAGCCGCTTTGACACTCCTTCAGGTAGTGATAAAGTGGGATATCAAATCCAAACTCCTCCTCCTCCTCCTCCTCCTCTTCTTCTTCTTCAGCACCTGTGATTCTCAGCAATGCATTCAGAGCCATATTCCCTCCAATACACTGGTGGAGTATGTAGCCATCATGGCCTGGGACAGGGTTCTGTTATCATCCATCCATTCATTTCATAATATTTATACACAGTGGAACAGGCTCCCATTGTGATATGGTGGACACTCCTTCCCTGCTGCCAAACATCTTGCCCTGGTTTCCTTGGGGCCACATCGGCAAGGCCAAGAGTGGGGGCTTGTCTTCTGGGCAGCCCGGGACCTCCATGTACACTTCCCAGGCTTGGGGGTCCGGCGGTCACTAACAATACAGCCTTTTGGCTTCACCCCCAGAGGCACACTCCATTGTCTCCTGAGATAGACAGATGCCACCAACAACTGGGTCTTAATCTTTCTTCCTCCCTATCGCCTGTTCCACCCCTCATTAATGAAAGAGCATCAAAGAGATTAAAACACTCTTTGCACTTGGGCAAAAAAAATGAGAGGCACAAATACAAGATGGGGGACACCTGGCTTGAGAGCAGTACATGTGAAAAGGATCTAGGAGTCTTGGTTGACCACAAACTTGACATGAGCCAACAGTGTGGCGCGGCAGCTAAAAAAGCCAATGCAATTCTGGGCTGCATCAATAGGAGTATAGCATCTAGATCAAGGGAAGTAATAGTGCCACTGTATTCTGCTCTGGTCAGACCTCACCTGGAGTACTGTGTCCAGTTCTGGGCACCACAGTTCAAGAAGGACACTGACAAACTGGAACGTGTCCAGAGGAGGGCAACCAAAATGGTCAAAGGCCTGGAAACGATGCCTTATGAGGAATGGCTAAGGGAGCTGGGCATGTTTAGCCTGGAGAAGAGGAGGTTAAGGGGTGATATGATAGCCATGTTCAAATATATAAAAGGATGTCCTATAGAGGAGGGAGAAAGGTTGTTTTCTGCTGCTCCAGAGAAGCGGACACGGAGCAATGGATCCAAACTACAAGAAAGAAGATTCCACCTAAACATTAGGAAGAACTTCCTGACAGTAAGAGCTGTTTGACAGTGGAATTTGCTGCCAAGGAGTGTGGTGGAGTCTCCTTCTTTGGAGGTCTTTAAGCAGAGGCTTGACAACCATACGTCAGGAGTGCTCTGATGGTGTTTCCTGCTTGGCAGGGGGTTGGACTCGGTGGCCCTTGTGGTCTATTCCAACTCTATGATTCTATGAAACACCAAGCACCGGCTTCCAAGGTATTGTGTACATTTCACCTGGAAAGGCTAAAACTCACTTAGTCAGGATATGCCCTTGAGCAGTTCAACAAAGAGAGATGGATACTGCCTTAATTACAAAGGCTGGAGATTATCTGATTGAAAAGGAGGCAGATGAAAGAACCTGAGGTTTGGTCTGTTTCCCTTCTTGACATCTTAGTACTACAAGGGTATGCTTGGAAAGATTAGTATTGCTTTAATTAACAACCCGCCCTTCACCCTAAGGTCCCAGGGCTGGTTGCAACAGTTTTGAATGCAATCGGATTGGTGAAGCCATCACTTTTATAGCTTTGGAGTTCAAACCTGCGGTGCTGGCTGGCATTTCCATTGATGCAATTGAATAAGAGTTTGTCCTTGAGCTCTAGTTGACTCCCTTTTGTCCACAGGACTCCCTCCCCTGCTTGTGAAGCCTCTTTGCCTGCATACCCCCTTCCTTTGAACCCTGCAAGGCCCACCAAAGTCCTTCCTAGAATGATCAAGGGGATGGAGTGGCTGCCCATGAAGTTAGGCGACATGTGGGGCTTTTCAGTTTCGAGAAAAGGCCAGCAACAGGGGGCATGGTGCAAGTTTTCAAAATTATAGATGGGGAAGATGGATAGAGAAAAGTTTGAGAAGTCTGCTGGGCCAGATGAGTCACTGGTCTGGTCCATGTTCTTTTGCTTCTGGGAAACTTGGCTTGGTTGGGCTTCCCAGGCATGTACAGTGGTGCCTCGCAAGACGAAATTAATGCGTTTTGTCGTCTTGCGATTTTTTTCGTCTTGCGAAGCACGGTGTCGGGAAAGTTTTGGAAAAGCTTCAAAAATCACCAAAGTCTTTAAAAACCTCAAAAAAGGCTACCACACCGCGTTCTATGAGTTGCTCCTCGAAGTCAAGTCGCAACTGTATTAACGGTGTTAAGAAAAAGGAAACAAACTTGCAAGACGTTTCCGTAGGGAAAATCGTCTTGCGAAGCAGCTCAAAAAACAAAAAACCCTTTCGTCTAGCGAGTTTTTTGTCTTGCGAGGCATTCGTCTTGCGAGGTACCACTGTACCGTATTTTTCACTCTATAAGACGCACCAGACCACAAGACGCACCTAGTTTTTGGAGGAGGAAAACAAGAAAAAAAATATTCTGAATCTCAGAAGCCAGAACAGCAAGAGGGGTCGCTGCGCAGCGAAAGCAGCAATCCCTCTTGCTGTTCTGGCTTCTGGGATAGCTGCGCAGCCTGCATTCACTCCATAAGACGCGCGCACATTTACCCTTACTTTTTAGGAGGGGAAAAGTGAGTTATAGAGCAAAAAATACGGTATACCTTTTGAACGCTCGGCTGCTTTCTATAGACATGCACAGAAGCCCCCTCCTCCTTCCATCCAGGCAAGCAAAATGCATTATCAGAGTTCCAGGACACATTCCAGCCTGGTGCAAATACTCAAGGAGGATGTGAAACAAGCCTGGCAAAAGGGGGCGTGGCTAGGGAGGGGCGTGGCCTGGAGAGTCGCAAGGGCCACTCAGAGAGAACGTGGGGGGCCACAGAAGGCCTGAGTTTACCCACCCTTGGTGTAAAGTGGGAAGCCCTGTATGGTCTTCAGGGTGTGTTTGTTTCATATATATATGTTACAGTGGTACCTCGGGTTACATACGCTTCAGGTTATAGACGCTTCAGGTTACAGACTCCACTAACCCAGAAATAGTACCTCGGGTTAAGAACTTTGCTTCAGGGTGAGAACAGAAATCGTGCTCCGGCGGCGCGGTGGCAATGGGAGGCCCCATTAAGCTAAAGTGGTGCTTCAGGTTAAGAACAGTTTCAGGTTAAGAACAGACCTTCGGAACGAATAAAGTACTTAACCTGAGGTACCACTGTATATTGTAAGCTGCTCTGTAATTCGGATGAAAGGTGGAATATTAATATTATTAAAATTAATAAAACTTAGGGAACCTGAAGGAGCGTCTCCACCTCCATCGTTCTGCCCGGACACTGAGGTCCAGCGCCAAGGGCCTTCTGGCAGTTCCCTCGCTGCGAGAAGTGAGGTTACAGGGAACCAGACAGAGGGCCTTCTCGGTAGTGGTACCTGCCCTGTGGAACGCCCTCCCATGAGATGTCAAGGAAATAAGCAGCTATCTTATCTTTAAAAGACATCTGAAGGCAGCCCTGTTTTGGGAAGCTTTTAATATTTAATGTTGTATTGTTTTTAATACTCGATTGGGAGCCACCCAGAGTGGCTGGGGAAACTCAGCCAGATGGGCGGGGTATAAATAATAAATTATTATTATTATTATTATTATTATTATTATTATTATTATTATTTATTTATTATTAATTTAGTTGTGCTATCATAATGATTAAGGCTTCAAATGATAATTTTAGTTATATGTTAGCGACTAAGTTTTAATTTATATATTTATTAACTGTTGCTATATCTGTATTGTCCCTGTTATACCTAATTTGCAAATTCAAATGTATCCCTATTGTGTTTTATGACTTCCTTGATATTGTATGTGGGCAGGAACTGGTCTGTGACCGAAATAATCAATTCATCATCATCATTATATTATTATTATAAATTTACAGTGGAGCAAAGATTCATTTGCCAGTCTTACCGTGGTCTAATTTTGTATGTGTGCATGTGCTTTCACCTTCTAGCGATTTCTTCCAAAATGCTGCCTTGCAAGGAGGCATTGATGGACACTTCTCCAAAGCGATGACGGGCCAGATGGCACTCACTCAGGTAAGACTGAGGGGCTGCGGGAGGGAGGGGTCTTGGCTTGGGGCAGAGCATGTCATGGGGAGGCATGGGCCCCAATGTTCCATCGCTGGGATCTCTAGACAGCAGGACAGTTCCGTCAGGCCCGGTTCGGTGGGATCCGAAAGACATTTCTGCCTTCTCCATCGTGCTTGCTGGAAAGACCTTGCCTTTTCTTGCACAACTGTTTCAAGTTTTAGCCTGGAGAAGAGGAGGTTAAGGGGTGATATGATAGCCATGTTCAAATATATAAAAGGATGTCATATAGAGGAGGGAGAAAGGTTGTTTTCTGCTGCTCCAGAGAAGCGGACACGGAGCGATGGATCCAAACTACAAGAAAGAAGATTCCACCTAAACATTAGGAACAACTTCCTGACAGTAAGAGCTGTTCGACAGTGGAATTTGCTGCCAAGGAGTGTGGTGGAGTCTCCTTCTTTGGAGGTCTTTAAGCAGAGGCTTGACAACCATATGTCAGGAAGAAGAAGAAGAAGAGTTTGGATTTGATATCCCGCCTTTCACTCCCTTTTAAGGAGTCTCAAAGCGGCTAACATTCTCCTTTCCCTTCCTCCCCCACAACAAACACTCTGTGAGGTGAGTGAGGCTGAGAGACTTCAAGGAAGTGTGACTGGCCCAAGGTCACCCAGCAGCTGCAAGTGGAGGAGCGGAGACGCGAACCTGGTTCCCCAGATTAGCAGACTACCGCTCTTAACCACTACACCACACTGGCTCTCACCTCAGGAGTGCTCTGATGGTGTTTCCTGCTTAGCAGGGGGTTGGACTCGATGGCCCTTGTGGTCTATTCCAACTCTATGATTCTATGATTCTATGATTCTAAGATAAATAATGCAATTCTCCCTAAGGTTTGGTGGCAGGGGAGCACACTGGGAAGGTCGTAAATCTGTGGCAGATCATCCGCAGAAGGTCCCAGGTTCAGTCCCTGGGTAGGGAACCTATACAGCCTGGAAACCCTGGAGGGCTGCTCTCCATCCATGCAGACAACACTGAGGTTTTGTTGTTGTTTAGTCATTTAGTTGTGTCTTACTCTTCGTGACCCCCTGGACCAGAGCATGCCAGGCACTCCTGTCTTCCACTGCCTCCTGCAGTTTGGTCAAACTCATGCTGGTAGCTTCGAGAACGCCGTCCCACCATCTCGTCCTCTGTCGTCCCCTTCTCCTTGCGCCCTCCATCTTTCCCAGCATCAGGGTCTTTTCCAGGGAGTCTTCTCTTCTCATGAGGTGGCCAAAGTCTTGGAGCCTCAGCTTCAGGATCTGTCCTTCCAGTGAGCACTCAGGGCTGATTTCCTTCAGAATGGAGAGGTTTGATCTTCTTGCAGTCCATGGGACTCTCAAGAGTCTCCTCCAGCACCAGAATTCAAAAGCATCAATTCTTCAGTGATGGTCCAACTCTCACTTCCATACATCAACACTGAGGTAGTGGGACCCAATGGTCTGACTTGTCATAAAGCAGCCTCCTGTATTCCTGTGTTTCAGATGATGGCCGACTTTGAAGAAGACTGTAAGAAGGCTGCTGGTGCCTCTGGAGCCTCCCTCCCAAAACAGTTCTCGGTGGCTCAGATCGTTGAGAAATTGATGGAGGAACATTCCTTCAATACCGCTTTCCTGCGGGCAGCTGTGGTGCTCAGGGAGAATGGTAATGGCTCCTTCGTGTGGCAAGGGGTGGCTGTTACACAACCTGGGTGCCTCCGATGGTTCACGGCTATGTTGGTGTGGTATTTTTGTAGGGTGCTTTTTTATGAGCTTAGGGACGTGGGTGGCGCTGTGGGTAAAAGCCTCAGCGCCTAGCACTTGCCGATCGAAAGGTCGGCGGTTCGAATCCCCGCGGCGGGGTGCGCTCCTGCTGCTCGGTCCCAGCACCTGCCAACCTAGCAGTTCGAAATCACCCCCAGGTGCAAGTAGATAAATAGGGACCGCTTACTGGCGGGAAGGTAAACGGCGTTTCCGTGTGCGGCTCTGGCTCGCCAGAGCAGTGATGTCACGCTGGCCACGTGACCCGGAAGTGTCTCTGGACAGCGCTGGCCCCTGGCCTCTTAAGTAAGATGGGTGCACAACCCCAGAGTCTGTCAAGACTGGCCCGTACGGGCAGGGGTACCTTTACCTTTACCTTTACTTTTTATGAGCTTAGAAGGAGCCCTTTATTTATTCACAATGTTGATATCCTTCGTTTATTGCTTGTATGTTTAAAAGCATTTCTAAAACGCTTAACATTTTAAAAACTCTCAAAGTGGCATAGTCATACCTCAGGTTACAGATGCTTCAGGTTCCGTTTTTTCGGGTTACGGACCACCGAAACCCGGAGTTACCGCAATGGGTTACTTCCGGGTTTCGGCGGCCGCACATGTGCAGAAGCACTAAATCGTGCTTTGCGCATGCACAGAAGCACCGAATCGCAACCCGCACGTGCACAGACATGCCGCTGCGAGTTGCGAACGTGCATCCCACACCGATCACGTTCGCAACCCGAGCATCCACTGTACAGCGATCCAACAGAAAAGCAATATGACAGTATTCCGAAAACAGATGTAGCATGAAAGCTTTTCCCTCTGAATGGGTCATTTCTATTATTATTAAATTTCCATGCCACCCTTCACCCGAAGATCACAGGGCGGTTCACAAAGCACCCAAGCCCTTCTCCCTGCACCCTAATTCTTTATGCTATCTGAATCCACATCTGGAATTAAGACGTATTTCCTAACTATGGTACGGAATGTGGCCTGGGCTTTGGTTCATCTTCTGACTCTCCTGCCTCTCCCCTTCCAGGCTTCAAGACAGCTGTCCTGACCAACAACTGGGTTGATGACAGCCACTTCAGGCACCGTACAGGCCTTGCCCTTTGTCTGCTGAACAGATATTTTGACCGGGTGATTGAGTCATGCCGTGTCGGTCTGCAGAAGCCAGATCCCAAGATCTATGAGTATGCACTGGATGTGCTGAAAGTGAAACCTGAAGAGGTTGGTGGCACACATCTGAGAGCCAGTGTGGTGTAGTGGTTAAGAGCGGTAGACTCGTAATCTGGGGAACCGGGTTCGCTTCCTCACTCTTCCACATGCAGCTGCTGGGTGACCTTGGGCCAGTCACACTTCTCTGAAGTCTCTCAGCCCCACTCACCTCACAGAGTGTTTTTTGTGGGGAGGAAGGGAAAGGAGATTGTGAGCCGCTTTGAGACTCCTTAGGGTAGTGATAAAGCGGGATATCAAATCCAAACTACTACTACTACTAATACTACTCTTCTTCTTCTTCTTCTTCTTCTTCTTCTTCTTCTTCTTCTTCTTCTTCTTCTGTCTTGTACTTGCAAAAAGCTTCTGTTGTTCCCTTCAGGATCTCTCTCTCTCTCTCTCTCTCTCTCTCTCTCCATCCAGATGTGTTTAACATCAGTCCTGAACTGCAGGGGGTTGGACTAGATGACCCCTGGGGTCACTTTCAACTCTACAATTCTATGATTCTACGCTCTGGTGCAGGGGTGGTGGTGAGGAACCTGTCACTGTCAGAAAGTTCTCCCTACTGTTTAGCCAGAATCTCCTTCCTTGTACAGTGGTACCTCAGGTTACATACGCTTCAGTTTACATACGCTTCAGGTTACAGACTCCGCTAACCCAGAAATAGTGCTTCAGGTTAAGAACTTTGCTTCAGGATGAGAACAGAAATCGTGCTCCGGCGGCGCGGCAGCAGCAGGAGGCCCCATTAGCTAAAGTGGTGCTTCAGGTTAAGAACAGTTTCAGGTTAAGAACAGAGCTCCGGAATGAATTAAGTGCTTAACCCGAGGTACCACTGTAGTTCGAATCCATTGGTTCAGCTCCTCCCCTCTGGAGCAGCAGAAAACAAGCTTGTTCCATCTTCCACGTGGCAGCCCTTCAGATATTTGAAGGTGACTATCCTGTCACCTCTCAGTCTCTTCTTCTCCAGGCTAAACACACCCAGCGCCCTCAAACTTTCCCCATAAGATTTGGTTTCCAGACCCTTGATCACCTTGGTTGTTTTCCTCTGTACACTCAGTGCCAGTTGTGTGGCAAGGCCAAAAAGGGGCTTGTATGCACCACTGACCAGCTGTTTTGTGGTCTTGTGGTGAAAGACAAGTATTCAGAGAGCAAATTGGATGAGGCCTTCGGAGAAAATCCATCATCTGTTCTCCTTTCTCTTTAAATTTAGTTTCAGAAGTAGGTCTGTGTGTATATACATGTAATTTGGACCCCAGTGGTGGTCGATGGGGAGATCAAACCCATACCATTTTCCTGATTTGATCCACACACTCAATATACTCTTTGCCACATTAGAGGGGGTAAGGCCTGTGGTCCCAGTCCAAAGAGAGCAAATTGCAGTGTATGTATGTTTGTTTGGCTCTCTCTTCTCTCTCTCTCTCTCTCACACGCACGTGCACACACGTGCACACACAGACACACACTCATACTTGGCGTGTTTGTATTCAACTCTTCAGTTAAAAAGGCTCCCTGAATAGCCTACATGCGATCAGTTGAAACAGTCCCTGCCCACAAGCTGCCAATCTAAAAAAAAAAAAAAAGCACAACACATAAGTGAAAAGGGACAGGGATGGAAGTAGGGGGCAGGAATCAAACTCAGGCACCCGTTCTTAGGGAGCTGTTCTTACATGTCATTAGCCAGTCCTCCAAAGGAGATAGAGAAAGAGACTGTGACCTGTCCGGGAAATTGTGGTGGAGAAAGGGTTAACTGCCCCCACTTGGCTGCTCTTTTGATTCAATCTTGCCAGACCACAGTGTTAAAAGTGTGAAGCCCAGGAATGCAGATAATGGATCTCTAGGCTCTTTCCTAGCTTGTCCAGAGGAGGGCAACCAAAATGGTCAAAGGCCTGGAAACGATGCCTTATGAGGAATGGCTAAGGGAGCTGGGCATGTTTAGCCTGGAGAAGAGGAGGTTAAGGGGTGATATGATAGCCATGTTCAAATATATAAAAGGATGTCATATAGAGGAGGGAGAAAGGTTGTTTTCTGCTGCTCCAGAGAAGCAGACACGGAGCAATGGATCCAAGCTACAAGAAAGAAGATTCCACCTAAACATTAGGAAGAACTTCCTGACGGTAAGAGCTGTTTGACAGTGGAATTTGCTGCCAAGGAGTGTGGTGGAGTCTCCTTCTTTGGAGGTCTTTAAGCAGAGGCTTGACAACCATATGTCAGGAGTGCTCTGATGGTGTTTCCTGCTTGGCAGGGGGTTGGACTCGATGGCCCTTGTGGTCTCTTCCAACTCTATGATTCTATGATTCTGCTGCAGATTGTAGTCTTCCCCAGTGACTTGGGGCTGGCTGATCTAGAAGGTCAGAGGGGTGGATGGATCAAATCCGTTGAAGGTTTTGGGGGCAGGGGGTGGTGTCATGACTCCTAGCCCCTTCAGATTATGCCAGTTCCCTAGGCAGATCAGGACAGTCCTGTTTTCCTTGGTGCAGAATTAGGACTGGCTGGGTGCAGAATAAGTTTTTTTAAAAAAGAAAATTGTGTATATACACAAAGCATTCCTTTCCAGCCACGAGGTAGTGTGGTGTAGTGGTTAAGAGCGGTGGACTCGTAGTCTGGTGAACCGGGTTCGCATCTCCACTCCTCCACCTGCAGCTGCTGGGTGACCTTGGGCCAGTCACACTTCTCTGAAGTCTCTCAGCCCCACTCACCTCACAGAGTGTTTGTTGTGGGGGAGGAAGGGAAAGGAGAATGTTAGCCACTTTGAGACTCCTTCGGGTAGTGAGAAAGCGGGATATCAAATCCAAACTCCTCCTCCTCTTCTTCTTCTAGTCAGAGGCCCACTAGATCTAATAATGGCAGAACAGGATAGGTGCGTTCGTTCTTTCCTTTCAGCTGACTCTGGCTTTTGCTTCTTCCTCGCGCCAGGTTATTTTTCTGGATGACACTGGCGCAAACTTGAAGCCCGCTCGGGAGATGGGCATGGCCACCATCCTCGTGAAAGATTTTGACTCTGCTCTGAAGGAGCTGCAGGACCTGACGGGAGTTCAGGTGAGGAGCTTTTTTGCATGCGGACATTGAGTGGAAATGACTTTCTCTCTGTAGGTTGGTTCCTGAGTTTTAGCAATTGCACCTGTGGATTGCATTGCAATCCTAACGAGTAATGGACATAAGAAGGAGGCTGCTGGATCAAGCCAACGTGCTGTCTAAATAATAAATTATTATTGGATCTTTAGAAGAAGGCAGCCCTGTTTGAGGAAGTTTTTAATCCTTGATGCTTTACTGCGTTTGCTGTTTTAACTCGTTGGAAGCTGCCCAGAGTGGCATATAAATTATTATTATTACTAATCCAGGATCCTGTTTGCACAGAGGCTGCAAATGGAAACCTACAAGCAGGATTTGAGCATGAGAGCACTGTCCTCTCATCTCCTGTGGTTTCCAGCGACATCTGTTCAGAAGTTGTTGCTGCCTCCAATTCCTTAGTCTGGACACTGTGCCTCTGTTGATGCAGCCTTGAATAGCGTCAGCTTTTTTGCTGCTTCATCAAATTGTTGACTCGTGTTTATTTTATTTATTTATTTATTTATTTATTTATTTATTTATTTATTTATTTATTTATTTTTATATCTACCCCGCCCTCCCTGGCCAAGACCGGTGGCTCAGGGCTGCTAACATCAGGTATAAAAACAATTGATTAAAATACAACTGAAAAACAAGATTATAATACTACTTAAAATGCAGCTTCATTTGAGTGGAGCCCAGATCAAAAACTGTTGGGGGGGGCGGGGGGAAACGTCAAATCTTCACCAAGGCCAACTATCCAGACTGGTCCTACGTGGGCCAGAAAAGCCAGGGAAGTCCCCAAATAGGAGTTCCATCACTGAAGGAGAAAGGAAAGAGGGAATCAAGTTGATTCCAAGCCAAAGGCCAGGCGGAACAACTCTGTCTTACAGGCCCTGCAAAAAGAAATCAGATCCTTCAGGGTCCTGGTCTCATGAGACAGAGCGTTCCACCAGGCCGGGGCCAGTGTTGAAAAGGCCCTGGCTCTGGTTGAGGCTAATCTGACTTCCTTAGGGCCCAGGACCTCTAGGGTGTTGCTATTTATGGACCTTAAGGTCCTCTGCGGGGCATACCAGGAGAGGCAGTCCTGTAGGTACGAGGGTCCTAGGCTGCTTGTGGTCTCCTAATAACCCTAGATCCTTTTCAAATTTACATGTTACATTCGTGCAGCTAGCCATTCCTGCCTAAGTGCATTTATCCTTGCATTTATCCCCACTGAATTTCAATTTGTTAGTTTGGTCCCAGTTGTCTGATCTGTTAAGGCCATGTTGAATCCCGATTCTGTCTTCTGCAGTTTGGTTCATCTGCAAATTTGACGAGCGTTCCTTCAGTTCCTTCATCCAAGTTGTTTATAAATATGTTGAACAACAACGGGCCCAGGGTAGAACCCTGCATCTCCCAGGATGATGAGGAACCAGCAGGGAGCACTCCTTTGGGTTTGGTTGGCCAGCCAGCTGCACATAACAGAATAGCCTGTTCGCATAATATAGCTTTCGCAAGAAGATGAAAGATGTGACAAGCCAGTTGGCTTCTGCCAGAAACTGGTTGGCAGCCCGTGAGCTGAAGGCTTGAGTGCTTGCAGAGTGAAGCAACTTCTAGTCACGTTAGAAAGGTGGAGTGGCTGTCTCACCAGGCTTGATGCTGGAAGGGAAGAACCTTGCAGTTGCAGCTCTGCAGGGAACATTTCTGACGTTTTGTGGGTGTAGGAAGGCAGTGATAAGAATAAAAATCATTTTTATTTTTTTATCAGCGACACGAGCCTCAGATACGTTTAGAGACCCGTGCACGCTCTGTCAGCAGAGTGAATAAATCTTCTCACAGCAGAAGAGGCGGACAGAGAAATGTGTAAGCAGTATATTACAGCAGTTTATTCAGCAGCAGGAACAAAGGAAAAAAACATGTCTGCTTCCCTTCGTCTCCAGGCAAAACAGCAGCAATGCAAAAGCTATATACAAATGGAAGTTCCCAGCAAGTGCTGGAAGTAAACAGGCATGTGACACACAACAGTCATGCCTGTACTCTTTTAAGGTGGAACGGAACTATATCCTAACAAGGTCTTCCTCAGCCTTCTGGAAATACCAACTGATGGCTCATGTCTTATTGCACTTCCATATTTAACAATCTAACTAAGATCATGGCCACTGGTCCCATCACCTCCTGGCAAATAGAAGGGGAAGAAATGGAGGCAGTGAGAGATTTTACTTTCTTGGGCTCCGTGATCAATGCAGATGGTGACAGCAGCCACGAAATTAAAAGATGCCTACTTCTTGGGAGAAAAGCAATGACAAACCTAGACAGCATCTTAAAAAGCAGGGACATCACCTTGCCGACAAAGGTCCGTATAGTTAAAGCTATGGTTTTCCTAGTAGTGATGTATGGAAGTGAGAGCTGGACCATAAAGGCTGATCGCCGAAGAATTGATGCTTTTGAATTCTGGTGCTGGAGGAGACTCTTGAGAGTCCCCTGGACTGCAAGAAGATCAAACCTTTCTTAAGGAAATCAGCCCTGAGTGCTCACTGGAAGGACAGATCCTGAAGCTGAGGCTCCAAGACTTTGGCCACCTCATGAGAAGAGAAGACTCCCTGGAAAAGACCCTGATGTTGGGAAAGATGGAGGGCACAAGGAGAAGGGGACGACAGAGGATGAGATAGTTGGACAGTGTTCTCGAAGCTACGAACATGAGTTTGACCAAACTGCGGGAGGCAGTGGAAGACAGGAGGGCCTGGCGTGCTCTGGTCCAGGGGGTCACGAAGAGTTGGACACGACTAAACGACTAAACAACAACAATTTAATCATCTAGCTCAGTATTGTTTGCACTGACTGGCAGCAACTCTCCAGGCTTCCAGGCAGGGACTGGAGATGCTGGGAGCATCTTCACGCAGCGCAGATGCTCGCCCACTGAGCTGTGGCCCTTCCCTAAATGGCACCTCAAATTATCTCTGCAACTAACATCCCCTCCACCAAGAAGGAGTGAAATGAACCTGGGGAAAGAGGTTAACAGCCGAGCATCCTGAGGCTGCGAAGGAGGCAGCTGCGTCAAGGGTTATCCAGGACTGCTGATTTCAGCAGTGTTGGGCATATTAACCTTGTAAACCTTCCTCGGTGACTGGCCCAGCAGGATCTCGTTACTCAGTGCCGGAGCAAAGTGCCTCTCCGTAGTGCTTCCGTCGCTCGTAGCCCTCCCCGTCTACAAAGGTAGCTCACGTACCAGCTGATTCTTTGAAAGTGGATCCTCTCCATCCTTTGGAAGGTTCCTTTCTTCTGCTCTCTAGAGAGGCCTGTGCTGAGTGAACTATTAACCGCAGAAGCGTAGAAACTTTCTCTTCTGCACTGACTGAGCCAGGCTTGTACTTTGGCACTCACTGAATTGCCAGGTTTTGTGGTAAAGAAAATACAAAGGGCGCTTTTAGATGGCAAGGTTGTTTCAGAGCAGGAAAAATCTAAACCTTTGGATCATCTTAATTGCACTTCATTTACATTTCAATATGGGCATTTGTGTGTGTGTGGCATTGAGCAGAACTTTGCATTCTTGCTTGCTTTTTAAAATGCAATATTTAATATTTAAAAAGCAAGTTTCCAGACCTCATGGTTGTAGATATTAGAAAGCTTGCTATTTAGGCCTCCCGTGTGTACGGGAGCTAAGCATATTTGCTGCGCATGAAAAATACCTTTGCCTCTTTCATACACAAGCATTTTGGGATATTTCCCAGGCTTCCTGACAATTCACTGCACCAGTTGTCATTTTCTTGGGTTGGCATTTGGGGACTGAGGTTTGCAGGACTTTGCTTTATATAATATATAATCATAATAATTTATTATTTATACCCCACCCATCTGGCTGAGTTTCCCCAGCCACTCTGGGTGGCTCCCAATCAAGTGTTAAAAACAGTACAGCGTTAAATATTAAAAACTTCCCTGAACAGGGCTGCCTTCAGATGTCTTTTAAAAAGAAGATAGCCACTTATTTCCTTCACATCTGAAGGGAGGGTATTCCACAGGGCGGGCGCCACTACCGAGAAGGCCCTCTGTCTGGTTCCCTGTAACTTGGCTTCTCACAATGAGGGAACCGCCAGAAGGCCCTCGGCGCTGGACCTCAGTGTCCAGTCTGAACAATGGGGGTGGAGATGCTCCTTCAGGTATACTGGACTGAGGCCATTTAGGGCTTTCAAGGTCAGCACCAACACTTTGAATTGTGCTCAGAAACGTACTGGGAGCCAACATAGGTCTTTCAAGACCGGTGTTATGTGGTCCCAGCGGCCGCTCCCAGTCACCAGTCTAGCTGCCGCATTCTGGATTAATTGCAGTTTCCGGGTCACCTTCAAAGGTAGCCCCACGTAGAGCGCGTTGCAGTAGTCCAAGTGGGACTACTCAGTGTCTGCTTGCTCCTCAGTCTGAAAAACAGCCCCCCCAAAAAACACCACCAAACGATTCCTTCACCACCACCACACATAAGCACCTTGCGTGGGACGCTACGGTGAACAAGAGGTTCTGAGTGCCAAACAAGTGACCAAAGAGGAAGCAAGAAAAAACGAAATAAAGAGAACCTTCCAACCAGCTTGACGAGATGCCAGAATGTCATTGTGGGTGGAGTGCTGGACCCTGGCGTCATTCCCATCTCTGATAAACCTTGAAGTTCCTCGAGTGCTTTTAGGACTGTCTCTCTCTGCCTCTTTGCCTCGCCACAGGATCATGATGGGGATAGAAATTTGGTTCAGCTTGCGGCCTAGGACCCACGTACCTGGGACCGCCTCTCCTGGTATGCCCCACGGAGGACCTTAAGGTCCACAAATGACAACACTTTGGAGGTCCCAAGTCACAAGGTCATTAGATTGGTCTCAACTAGGGCCAGGGCCTTTTCAGTACTGGCCCCGACTTGTTGGAATGCTCTATCACAAGAGACTAGGGCCCTGCGGGACTTGACATCTTTCCGCAGGGCTCCAAGACAGAGTTGTTTTGCCTGGCCTGTTCCAGTCTGACCCTTATGTCTTCCCTCCCCTTATGGTTTTGATTTATGGGCTCCTAATAAAATGAGGCTGCTTTTTAAATTGTATTTTAACCTGTATTTTAAATTGGGTTTTTGTTTTTTTGTTTTGTTTCCCCCCCCCTATTATGTTTCTATTGTAATTTTACTGGTGTTAGCCTCCCTGAGCCCGGGCTCTGGCCAGGGAGGGCGGGGTATAAATAATAATAATAATAATAATAATAATAATAATAATAATAATAATAATTGTTTCAAGGCAGACCTCCCTGCTTTGCACTTTCCCAAACAATATGTGAACTGAAATGCATCCATTCTTTGAAATCCTCACTTTCCTGAATTTTTTGGTGTAGCAATGTGTACATAAATGCATAAAAAACCCTATATGCGGTGAAAACATGAATGTTCACTTTAAACCAGTGGTTCCCAAAGTAGTCAGTGGGATCACCTAGTGGGGCGCTAAGAGGCAAGGGGGAGGCAGGGAACCAAACTTGAGACTGGAAAAACTGAGAAACCCAAAGATGAGCAAATCGGTCCATTTTGGTTTCTTTTTGTTTCTCATTTGGCCACATTTCTGTATCGGTTTGCCGAATTCTTTGGGCAGCATCCAACTAACTCGCTCCCATCAATTCAAGGACTTCTGCGGTAGCACTTTTCCTGCCTTTTAAAGGGTAAAGGGACCCCTGACCATTAGGTCCGGTCGCGGACTACTCTGGGGTTGCGGCGCTCATCTCGCTTTATTGGCCAAGGGAGTTGGTGTACAGCTTCCGGGTCATGTGGCCAGCATGACTAAGCCGCTTCTGGCGAACCAGAGCAGCGCATGGAAACACCGTTTACCTTCCCGCCGGAGCGGTACCTATTTATCTACTTGCACTTTGACATGCTTTTGAACTGCTAGGTTGGCAGGATTTGGGACCGAGCACTGGGAGCTCACCCCGTCACGGGGATTCGAACCGCCGACCTTCTGATCGGCAAGCCCTAGGCTCTGTGGTTTAACCCACAGTGCCACCTGTGTCCCTTCCTGTCTCTTATGCTCCCCTAAGTGTGGGTTACTCTGACCCCTCAGAAAAGGGTTTGGGAAGGTTGCAGGGTGTGCACCAAAAAGAGTTTAGCTGTGCAAGTGGAAGTCCTTCCGCTAACAGAATGAGTTAGTTGGATATCTCCCATTTAAAAGAAGCACTTATCAAAATTCATCTGTTCTTTACTGCGCATGTCTACTAATTACACACCTTGTGTAATAGGCAGCTTGCTGCTATTCCTGTATCTGCAAAAGGCATTTGAAATCTCTCTCCTTCTTTCACTTATCTACTTCCCAGCTTCTTGAGCAGGAGGAATGCCTTCCGCCCGCCTGTGAACCGGAGAGTGTGGTCCACGGCTATGTGGCGATCAAGGTAAGAGCAGATGGACTGCTTTGGGGGTTAGCGTCCTATAAGTGCTTTCTATGGGGGAAAGAATCCTGTGAGTTGTTCCTTGAAAACTGCCATGAGACACTTCGTTGCTGGGAGGCTGGCATGTATACACTGCGAACAAATAAAGCGAAATGAGGCTGTATTTTAATTTTTTAATGTCATATTTTAATCTTGTTTTTAAGTTGTATTTCAATCAATTTGTTTTTATATCAGGTGTTAGCCACCCTGAGCCCGGTCTTGGCTGTGGAGGGTGGGGTATAAATAAAAGTTGTCATTATTATTATTATTATTTATTAAAACACAAAAGAAACAATCTTTCTCCCTCTTCCATGTGACAGCGCTTCAGATATTTGAAGGTGGCTCTTATGTCACCTCTTCTCCAGCGTTGATGTTCTTTGTCATGGTGGGCTTTGTCCTGCGATTTGGACCTGATGTTGTTTCCATCTCCGTCTGTGATTCTGACTCATGTCTTACGCTGTCTCCCCTTTAGCCTGGTACCCGGCTGCACTTTGTGGAACTGGGTAGTGGTCCGGTCGTTCTCCTGTGCCACGGCTTCCCAGAGTCCTGGTTATCTTGGAGGTACCAGGTAAGAGAAATTCCGTGCGGGTGGAGAGGAGGGTGACCTCCATCCCTTATATTTGCAGTAGAGCCCCATTAGCGCCCACCACACTGTGTGCAACAGCCTCCCATAACCTGATGCTTTGGACTACAACTCCCATCAGCCCCAGCCAACACACCTGGGATTCATAGTGCGGAATGGCGAAGAGGGAGGCGGGTCTTGGGCAGGCAGGCTGTGTGCATTGGTTTCTCCTGCGCGCAGGGAGCTTTAACCCAGCCTTCTCCTGGTGTTTTGGAGTACAACCCCTATCCAAGCCCATCTTGGGACTCACCCAAGACCTTAGAAATGCACAGAGGACCCAGTAAAAGGTATGAACCGTATGGGCTGGAAAACGAATTCAGCTGCTGCTCTGGTTTGTGTGGACAGGCAGAGTCCCCCAAACCCTGGGCGGCCCCCATGAGGAATAACAACTCAAGACAACTGTGCTATGGGATTAAAATTGGCCACAACTTGTATTATGTTTCAGATGTGAGTAAACCTTGACTCAGGAATTGGGCATTTATCCCTCCCAGTCCCCCGCCGGGGATCTGGGGAACATCAGGGTTATCCAGTGTGTGGGGGGGGGATGGGCTGGCTCTGGAGAACATATGTTCAAGCAGAGAGAGCCCGCCCCCGTTACGCCGCCGTCGCGGGAGAGAGCAATGACGACCTCTAGGCGCACGGCCAGAGCCTCCCCTCAAACAACCCCTTTTATGGGGAACCCTGGTATCGCCACTGCAAAGAGGAGGGAGGCGTGGGTCACCGCTGAACGCCCCCCCCCCCAATTCAGGGAAGATAGACTAAAGGATTCCGCCCAAGGCTTGATACTACCAAAGTTGTGACGTTTTGCTACGGGAAAGGCAAAGCTACCAATGCAGGAGAATTCCTTTCCGGCCCTTCAACAGCGACCTTGACATAGCAGCGCCCGCGTACCTGTGGAGAAAAGGTTAACCTGCAAAAGAAGTCTTAACTGAGGGTGGGTAGGGTGGGAGAAGCTCTGGAGCCAACTGACGATTCCCAGGTAAGATCCTCCGCCTATTGTGTGGGCAGGTAGTCCCTCCCCCTACCTGGCGCGATCCCCTTGGCAACGCCTCCCCAGGCGGGATTGCGCAACTGACAGAGGTAGGCGGAGACCTCCAGGTATCCCACCTGGGGGGAGGCGAAGCCAAGCCTGTGCTAATGGTGCCGCACAGGGTCCAGGGGCTGCGTGCGACCATGCAAAGGGCACCCCCGTTTAATGTGGGGAGCGGTCATTCCAAAATCTCACCAAGTGTTGCCCAAGTGTCTTTCCACTTGAGTTCATGCCTTCCCCCCATTACTGTTCAGACAGTAAGCCTGTGGGTTTTTTATGATTCGTACAGTACCCAATTTCTTAACAATTCCTATCCGTACTTCGCTACGATGCCCACCTTGATAGCGGTGACTGTGTGTTGCTTAGAGCCTGTTTCCACTCCTAATCCCTCGGAAAGAGACTCCTAAGCTCCTTGCGTGCAGCAGGTGTTGACAGGCCGGATGGTGCAGGATGAAAGCAGAGGAGCCCTTTGTGGCCTGGGGGCAGACCTGGATGGAGGAAAGAAATAAACCTTCCAATAATCCGAGTTAATTCTCACCCCACTGCCTTGCAGCTCACTCTTGCTTTTCCGTCCTAGATCCCAGCTCTAGCTGACGCTGGCTTCCGTGTCATTGCCGTGGAAATGAAAGGATACGGAGACTCCACAGCTCCCCCAGGTGAGCTGGCTTTCAGCCCTTGTCTCGAACATATGGACAGAGGAAGTGGGGATCCTGCATCTCAGGCGGTTGGGCTGGATGACCCTTGGGGTCCCTTCCAGAAATCTACAATTATGTGAAGCTGCTTTCCACCACATCAGGCCTTAGTTCCGCCCAGCTCAGTACTATTCACCAGTTGAGGTAGCCAAATGTTGTTGCTGTTGTTTAGTCGTTTAGTCGTGTCCGACTCTTTGTGACCCCCTGGACCAGAGCACTCCAGGTACTCCTGTCTTCCACTGCCTCCCGCAGTTTGGTCAAACTCATGCTGGTAGCTTCGAGAACACTATCCAACCATCTTGTCCTCTGTCGTCTCCTTCTCCTTGTATGGTGTAGTGCTTAAGAGTGGTAGTCTCGTAATCTGGGGAACCGATTTCGCGTCTCCGCTCCTCCACGTGCAGCTGCTGGGTGACCTTGGGCCAGTCACACTTCTTTGAAGTCTCTCAGCCCCACTCACCTCACAGAGTGTTTGTTGTGGGGGAGGAAGGGAAAGGAGAATGTTAGCCGCTTTGAGACTCCTTAAAGGGAGTGAAAGGCGGGATATCAAATCCAAACTCTTCTTCTTCCTCTCCTTGTGCCCTCCATCTTTCCCAACATCAGGGTCTTTTCCAGGGAGTCTTCTCTTCTCATGAGGTGGCCAAAGTCTTGGAGTCTCAGCTTCAGGATCTGTCCTTCCAGTGAGCACTCAGGGCTGATTTCCTTCAGAATGGAGAGGTTTGATCTTCTTGCAGTCCATGGGACTCTCATGAGTCTCATCCAGCACCATAATTCAAAAGCATCCATTCTTCGGCGATCAGCCTTCTTGATGGTCCAGCTTTCACTTCCATACATCAGTACTGGGAAAACAATAGGTAGCCAAATGGCACCCTCCAAATGATGTTGGGCTACAACTTCCATCATCCATTAGATCTGCCTTTGCTACAGGACACCAGCTGCCCACTGGACGGTGTGAGCCTTGAGAGGCAAAGGCCTTGCAAAGCCGCCCTGCCTCTTTTGCTCCCAAGTCGTGCCCGCAGTAATAATAATAATAATAATAATAATAATAATAATAATAATAATAATAATTTATTTATACCCTGCCCATCTGGCTGGGTTTCTCCAGCCACTCTGGGCGGCTTCCAACACAATATTAAAATACAGTAATGCCTCAAACATTAAAAGCTTCCCTAAACAGGGCGGCTTTCAGATGTCGTCTAAAAGTCTGGTAGTTGTTGTTCTCTTTGACATCTGGTGGGAGGGCGTTCCACAGGGCAGGTGCCACCACTGAGAAGGCCCTCTGCCTGGTTCCCTGTAACTTGGCTTCTTGCAGCGAGGGAACCGCCAGAAGGTCCTCAGAGCTGGACCTCAGTGTATGGATAGAACGAGGGGGGTGGAGACGCTCCTTCAGATATACTGGATCGAGGCTGTTTAGGGCTTTAAAGGTCAGCACCAACACTTTGAAATGTGCTTGGAAACGTACTGGGAGCCAATGTAGGTCTTTCAAGACTGGTGTTATGTGGTCTCGGCGGCCGCTCCCAGTCACCAGTCTAGCTGCCGCATTCTGGATTAGTTGTTGTTTCCGGGTCACCTTCAAAGGTAGCCCCACGTAGAGCGCATTGCAGTAGTCCAAGCGGGAGATAACCAGAGCATGCACCACTCTGGCGAGGCAGTCCGCGGGCAGATAGGGTTTCAGCCTGTGTTCCAGATGGAGCTGATAAACAGCTGCCCTGGACACAGAACTGACCTGCGCCTCCATGGACAGCTTTGAGTCCAAAATGACTCCCAGGCTGCGCAGCTGGTCCTTCAGGAGCACAGTTGCCCCATTCAGGACCAGGGAGTCCTCCACACCTGTCCCCCAAGAACAGTACTTCTGTCTTGTCAGGATTCAACCTCAATCTGTTAGCCGCCATCCATCCTCCAACCGCCTCCAGACACTCACACAGGACCTTCACCGCCTTCACTGGTTCTGATTTGAGAGAGAGGTAGAGCTGGGTATCATCCGCCTACTGATGAACACCCTGCCCAAACCCCCTGATGATCTCTCCCAGCGGCTGCATGTAAGGGCTCCTCTCCTCTTCCTTTGCTCTTGTTAATGCCAGACACATTCCTGGCAGCAGCTCATAAGATCCCGAGGGCTTTTCATCCACAGGTGAGGAACCTCTGCCCCAAAGCAGAGCTGGAGATTAGCCTGATGAAAGGGTGGGTGGGAAGGAAGGAAGGAAGAGAGAGGCTGGGACACACTCCCTTCTTGATCTGCTTAAAGCTCAGCTGCCCTCAGCTGCCCTCCCTTCCATCAGCTCTCCCCCCCCCCCCATTGCCTTTCAGCTTTGAGGAAATGAGCGCAGGAACCTAGAATCATAAAACTGTAGGGTTGGGAGGGATCCTACGGGGTCATCTACTCCAACCCCCCGCAGAACAAGAATAAGAGTCTCAGACCATTATGCAATCTAGTTCAGTATCGTCTGCTCTGACTGGCAGCAGCGCTCCACGGTTTCGGGCAGGAGTCTCTCCCAGCCTTGCCTGGTGATACCAAGAATTGGACCTGGAGTGTTCTGCATGCAAAACAGACTCTCTAAGCACCAAAGGTGTGCTGAGCCTCGTGAATCCAGCACTTTGGGTCTGTCCAGCTATCCTTTGTCTTCTGCATTCATGACAATTTGTGCTCTTGATGATATATTGGGGCGGGGGGGAGAGAGTTACATGAGATCCTGCTTTCATTGCTGCTGTTGCCTGCAAGAGTTTTGGGGTAAACAGATAGCTTCGTTTGCAATTATTGTGTGCCCCGAAACTTCCAGCTAACTTTTCAAACCACAAATGGCAATTGGTTTAAGTTTATATCCGTATAGTTAAAGCTATGGTTTTCCAAGTAGAGATGTATGGAAGTGAGAGCTGGACCACAAAGAAGGCTGATCGCCGAAGAATAGCCAGGTGTCCCCAGTTGTACCGCTGGTTCTTCCTGCTTAAGTGTAGGGCTCTACAATTGTCCCTGCTGAAATTCATTTTGTTAGTTTTGGCCCAGTTCTCTCTTTAGATTCATCTTGAATCCCAATTCTGTCTTGGTGGCATTAGCTGCCCCTCCCAGTTTGGAGCCATCTGCAAATTTGATGAGGGCCCCCTCAATTCTTTTATCCAAGTCGTTCCAAGACCTGTTGCTGAATGCTCCAGTACAATGCTTCTTCATCCTTCTCCAAAAAGCAGCTTCTCTCTCTGTATCGAGTCCAAAGAAGCAGACACTTGCAGAGATTGGAAGGGGCGTTGCTCACGAGGAGAGGCGCATGGCAGCTTTGGAACATTAAAAATGAATTTTGAGGGCACTAAAATGGCTTTAATAATTGATTTTGTTTTTGCAGAGATAGAGGAATATTCCCAGGAAGAAATATGCAAGGTAGGTCACAGCGTTCAGGAGCCTACCTCTGGCGTGCGCTCGCTTGAATCGATCCCGTTCTGAACGCTTAAAACGAAAGTTGGATCAAGACTGTATTAGAATGGAGAAATGTTAGCCTAGACTTCGTTAATGGGGCTGGGGGGGAAGGTACAGAATTCAGCCAAAAACCAGAGAGCTGCTATATACTGAGTCCATCTAGCTAATTACTGTCTACACCCCAGGAATCATAGAGTTGGAAGGGACCCTGAGGGTCATCTAGTCCTACCCCCTGCAATGCAGGAATATGCAGCTGTCGCAGGACCTGCAACCTTGTCATTATCAGCACAACACTTTAACCGGCTGAGCTATGAGCTATTTATTTATTTATTGATTGATTGATTACTAACCGATAAGAAAAAAACAACAGCAATCGTTTAGGACTTTCAGAAAGTTAAAATAACAATAGACTAGGTAAAGGGTAAAGGGAACCCTGTCCGTTAGGTCCAGTCACGGACAACTTTGGGGTTGTGGCGCTCTCATCTCGCTTTACTGGCCGAGGGAGCCGGCAGACAGCTTCCAGGTCATGTGGCCAGCATGACTAAGCCGCTTCTGGCGAACCAGAGCAGCGCATGGAAACACCGTTTACCTTCCCGCCGGAGCGGTACCTATTTATCTACTTGCACTTTGACATTCTTTCAAACTGCTAGGTTGGCAGGAGCAGGGACAGAGCAGCGGGAGCTCACCCCGTCGCGGGGATTCGAACCGCCGACCTTCTGATCGGCAAGTCCTAGGCTTTGTGATTTAAAACTCACATCAACTTTCTGGACATCTGGACAGGCTTGTCTGAACAAGGATGTTTTAAGGAGGCACTGAAATGAGCGCAGTGAAAGTGGCTAGCTGATATCAATAGGGAGCTCCAAAATGGAGTCACTGGGACACTGAAAGATTGAGTTCTTACAAATGCAGAATGGGTAATTTAACCCTGCTGGGGCAGGCAGCGCTGGTCTGTGTCAGGGGTAGGCAACCTAAGGCCCGGGGGCTGGATGCAGCCCAATCGCCTTCTCAATACGGTCCGCGGACGGTCCGGGAATCAGCATGTTTTTACATGAGTAGAATGTGTGCTTTTATTTAAAATGCATCTCTGGGTTGTTTGTGGGGCATAGGAATTCGTTCATATTTTCCCCCCCTAAAATATAGTGCAGCCCACCACATGGTCTGAGGGACGGTGGACTGGCCCATGGCTGAAAAAGTTTGCTGACCCCTGGGCTATGTGATCAGATTTGCCATGTGGAGCTTGATCATGCAGCCAATCGCTAGGGAAAGCAGATTTCAAGTCACTGCCCATCAGCTGTTAGGTGGAGACTTCAAGCCTGCTGATCATTGGCTCTTCACCTGACATTGTTGTGATATCAGGTGATTGACAGGTGGGCAGCGCCTCCCATCCGTCAGATTTGGCCTGCAACGGGTCAGAGAGATTATGAAGTTCGGCTGATTCGAGTGTTCATGCTCTTAAGATTGCTGCTGAAGTTGTGCAAGCCGTCGAAAATAAAACAGGTTTCCTAACAGCTTTATATCAGTTATGGTGCGACCACACCTGAAATTAAGTTCCAACTCCATGATTCTACAAAAACTACATAAGATTATGAATGGAGAGGGGATAGAGAGTTTCCCTCCTCCTTTCATAATTCGTGAACTAAGGGACACCCAGTGAAGCTGAATTTTGGAAGAATTGGGGCAGACAAAAAGTACTTCTTTCACACCACGCACTGTTAACCTATGGAATTCACTGCCACAGTATGTAGTGGTGGCCTCTAAGTTGGATACATTTAAAAAGAGGTTTAGGCAGCTTCATGGAGGATAAGAAGCAATAGGTGTATACCACCATCTCCAGACGCAGAGGCGGTATTATTATTATTATTATTATTATTATTATTATTATTATTATTAGAGTATGCTTCAAAATCCCAGCTGCTGGAATATTGCTCATTGGTCAGACTCTGAGCAAGGGAACAGATCCTGCCCAAAATGTCTGGGCAATGGAGATTGGGTTGGTTACACATCCCCTTTTAGTGCAGCCTTGTGAGCTGCCAGTCAGACATCCAGAGAACACCTGGGCATGTCCAGAGTTGATAGGTGTGTGTCGCAGTGTAGACTGAGCACATTTGCAGCTGCTTACGATCAGCATCATTTTAACAGCTAGCGACAAGATACTCTCGGAAGAAAAATCCTGGAGGCTTGACTTCTCATTTTATCTTTGCTTCCTTAGGATCTGCTGGTCTTCCTGGACAAAATGGTCAGTTTCAAAAAATATTCAGACTTGAAACCCTTACATGGCTGTCCATCTCTTGCGACATGGTGTATCTGTGAGACTCCTGTGTGTCCCAGTGGATTCTTCTTCTTTTTCCTGTTCTTATGATGTCGTCTTACCATTTTTATGTTGACTTGCACTTCATGTATGATTTTTTTATTATTAAGTGACTTAGAAATACATCCAAATAACTAAATTATTATCTCCAGCGTATTTGGATCATGCATGTTCTGTTGGCCCACCTGCACCTGCTCACATTTCCTCATCTGCACGGCATAAATGGGATTTTAAAGGGATCCATGGGACTCTTAATGTTTCGTGTGGATGTTAGTCCACACAAAAGGAGCATCTCCACCCCCATCGTTCTGCCCGGTCACTTAAGGTCCAGCTCCGAGGACCTCCTGGTAGTTCCCTCCCTATGAGAAGTGAGGTTACAGGGAACCAGGCAGAGGGCCTTCTTGGTGGTGGCACCCGCCCTGTGGAACGCCCTCCCATCAGATGTCAAGGAAATAAACAACTAACTGATTTTTAGAAGACATCTGAAGGCAGCCCTGTTTAGGAAAGTTTTTAATGTTTGATGTTTTATTGTGTTTTTAATATTCTGTTGGGAGCCGTTCAGAGTGGCTGGGGAAACCCAGCCAGATGGGTGGGGTGTAAATAAATTATTATTATTATTATTATTATTATTATTATTATTATTATTATTATTATTTAGAGTTGGCTTTTGCTGGTGCTTTTGAGGCATGGGGATTGTCTTGTGCCTAGATTCCTCGCTTGGTACCAAATCAGGGATGGGAATACTGCGTCTCTCTGGGTATTGCTTGACTTCAATTCCCACCGTCCCTGCTGGCTGCTGGGAGTTGTAGTCCAATATCACCTATGGTCTTCCAGGTGTGTTCCCCATCCTTGCACAAGATCTCCAGCCCTTCAGATTCCTGCACAAGTGCCTTCAGGTTAGCTCTCCTCTCCAAACCGATTCCGCTGTTGTTGCCCGCATCCTTTCCCTCTTCCTGTGACATGTCCTTCCTTTATCCCTCTGATTATAACCGACCGACGGAAAAAGACAGGTTAATGGAAGTGCTCTTAAAGTTCAGCCGTGTCGTTCTTTGAGCCTCGCTGGGAGAGAGTAGTAAAGGAAGATTCCCCCGTGGCTTGGCAAGCAGCTGGAGTGAATGTTCTAATCAATTTCTCTCTCTTGGCTAAAGTACAGCCTCTCGTATCACTTTAATAGCGGATGCATCCTCTGTCAAGAGACTGATGCTTCGGGGAGGGAGATGCGGGTGCTGGTTAGCCGTCCGAAAAAACACACAAGCGTGCTGTTGCCCTGTGCAGTGTCATATTCCAGCTAGCCCCTGGACTTGTTTGGGGTCATTAGTTTCTGTTGCTAGTTTCTAGTTTCTTGTTTGGGGTCATTAGTTTCCCAGTATGCAGGATGACTTGATCCAGTGGTGGTAGGGGAGATAAATTGTCCGCATGACGCCTTCAGCCCTTGGCATCAGGGGTGGTTTTTCAGAGCAGGCTGGTTTCCAAATGCACCAGCTCTTAAGTTGTGTGTGCATTAGGACTGTGCTCAGTGTTCCTGCAGCAAAGGAAAAGAGCCTAATGGGGGTTAAAACATATACAGAGGTACCTCGAGTTAAGTACTTAATTCGTTCCGGAGGTCTCTTCTTAACCTGAAACTGTTCTTAACCTGAAGCACCACTTTAGCTAATGGGGCCTCCTGCTGCTGCCACGCCACTGGAGCAGGATTTCTGTTCTCATCCTGAAACAAAGTTCTTAACCCGAGGTAATATTTCCAGGTTAGCGGAGTCTGTAACCTGAAGCGTATGTAACTGAAGCATATGTAACCCGAGGTACCCCTGTATTGTTTCAGTTTATATCCTCATTTTCCACAAGTAACACACAAGACTATTGACGATAGTGATAATAATACAGCAGTAATAAAATGTGCATATTTTATGTGGGTCTGTTTTCCCGTTGTTCGCTGTCCTCCTTAGAAGCAGCTTGCATGGATTTTTTCCCCGCAAGCTTCCTCGCAGCACGATCCAGCCAATCGGGGATCGGGCTGTAGGCGTGATGATGTCACAGTGCGAAATAGTCAGGGTCAGGGAAAGCAAGCATAGCCCATTTAGAGCGAGGGCAAGGCTGCTGGTGCTGCGTTGCCCTCACTTGGGATGGGCAGGGAAGGGAATGTGTGTCCCAAGGCATCTCTAGGTGCCATTACTGCCTGAGTGGGTTCCTGGTTTGCTGGCGGGCATCCATCTGTCTCGGGAGACAGTGGAGGAGTGCGCCTTTGAGAGTGAGCTGTTGGAAGGTTGCAGCCAGAGCTAGAAACTGAGATATGAAAGCTAGGAGCTAAATGGCACCTTAAACCTAGGTTATGAGCACAACAACAGAATGCCTAGGCTGGACATTGCCTAGGCTGGACATTGCTAGGATGGATGGTGACTAACAGATTAAGGTTGAATCCTGACAAGACAGAAGTACTGTTTTGGGGGGACAGGAGGCGGGTGGGTGTGGAGGACTCCCTGGTCCTCAATGGGGTAACTATGCCCCTGAAGGACCAGGTGCGCAGCCTGGGAGTCATTCTGGACTCACAGCTGTCCATGGAGGCGCAGGGCAATTCTGTGTCCAGGGCAGCTGTTTATCAGCTCCATCTGGGATGCAGGATGAGACCCTCCCTGCCCGCAGACTGTCTCGCCAGAGTGGTGCATGCTCTAGTTATCTCCCGCTTGGACTACTGCAATGCGCTCTACGTGGGGCTACCTTTGAAGGTGACCCAGAAACTGCAATTAATCCAGAATGTGGCAGCTAGACTGGTGACTGGGAGCGGCCGCCAGGACCACATAACACCGGTCCTGAGAGATCTGCATTGGCTCCCATTTCCGAGCACAAAACAAAGTGTTGGTGCTGACTTTGAAAGCCCTAAACGGCCTCGGTCCTGTATACCTGAAGGAGCATCTCCACCCCCATCGTTCAGCCCGGACATTGAGATCCAGCACCGAGGGCCTTCTGGCAGTTCCCTCATTGTGAGAAGTGAGGTTACAGGGAACCAGCCAGAGGGCCTTCTCGGTGGTGGCGCCTGCCCTGTGGAACGCCCTCCCATCAGATGTGAAGGAAATAAGCAGCTATCCTATCTTTAAAAGACATCTGAAGGCAGCCCTGTTTAGGGAAGTTTTTAATATTTAATGCTGTATTGTTTTAACACTCGATTGGGAGCTGCCCAGAGTGGCTGGGGAAACTCAGCCAGATGGGCGGGGTACAAATAAATTATTATTATTATTATTATTATTATTATTATTATTATTATTATTATTAAGGCACACTTTTTTATAACAAGAATACAAAGCTGAAAATGAGTGAACTGCAGCTAAAATCTTATATTCATTTCTTATATGGTCTAGTCCTCAACTGAAGTCTGCAAAAAACAAAGCCATGCTCCCCCTGCCCGCCCGCCCCCTAATATTCTTAAGAGGGTCTTTTCTCAAGTCTTCAGAGAGCGGCTGGAAGTGGGGAGGCAAAAAACTGTCCTCCTTTTCCTTCCATTCTGCACTTTTAATCTGAAATATTTGGGGCCATATTGCGCCCAGAGCTCAGAAACTGCTCGCGCTAATGAAATTCCTTGTCACATAACGCGCTTAGAACAATGGGAGTTTCAAACGCTGGTTGAAGCGCCTGCTGTGGCTGTAGAGACCGAATAAGGGAGAGACATGTTTTGCTGCAGCTGGGGCAGATGAAGGCATCCGGTTGTGCCAATGCAGATGCGCCATGACATTTCTTCTCTCTGCACTCCTCCCAGCGGTCATTCCTCCTCTGGTCACTGCTGTAGATGCATGAGCTGACCGCCTGTCTCCAGGCACTGCGGTTGTCTGCAAGGGATTCCCACCTGGCAGGGTCGACGTTGCCAGCCTAAAGGTTACGTTTGCAGACGTCTTTGTAACGCAGAGTTGGCCTGCCAACAGGCCTGGTGCCAGCTCCCCGTAAAATACCGTATTTTTTGCTCTATAAGACTCACTTTTCCCCTCCTAAAAAGTAAGGGGGAATGTGTGTGCGTCTTATGGAGCAAATGCAGGCTGCGCAGCTATCCCGGAAGCCAGAACAGGAAGAGGGATCGCTGCTTTCGCTGCACAAGATCCCTCTTGCTGTTCTGGCTTCTGAGATTCTGAATATTTTTTTTCTTGTTTTCCTCCTCCAAAAACTAGGTGCATCTTATGGTCTGGTGCGTCTTATAGAGCGAAAAATGCGGTGCATCCTTGGAGATCCTGCCATCTTCCATTCTGTGCAGGCCACCTAGAAATTGCTGAAATTCTAGATCGAAGCCTCAGGCTCCTTTTCAACCTGATGAGCTCTCTCTGGGGTGATTCTTCCATGCCATTTAAATCTGGTTGTGTTTTTATTTTTGAGCATACGCCACTTCAGTGCTTAAGCTGCCGATGCTTTAGCTGCATTCGCTTCGTGAAAATACGACCTCTTACAACGTTCTTGAGTAAGGTCTACGTAATGGAGCATGTTGATCGAGCCAGTTGTAGATTTCATCCAAGGCTTGGTCGTGGTGCACTTTTGCCGACGAAGCGGATTAATTATTGCACGTCGTTTTGGTTGAAATATGCCAATCCTGCCTCTCTGACCTTCCTGGATAAAACGGCTTCCCTTTTGGTTTTTTGCTTTTGATAAACGGCCAGGTCTCGAACACAGAGAGAGGTCACCCGAACCCCCGCCTCCAAAGTTAAATAACGATTCCTCCTTTTAACCTCTTTGGAGACATTAATCTGTTTTGACAATATAATTAGGATTGTAGTTCTGATTGCTGGCCCTGTTGGAAGGAAGGAATCAATTCAGGATTTATTAAAATGAGGTAGGTGCGTATATCTTGAGAGAGTGTGTTTGAAGTGTTGGTGGGGGTGTAAAGCTGAATTGTTGACCTAGGCAGGTTTTGCTTTTTCCTGCGAATATCTTGCAGAAGATTTAGGACAGGTTTTATTTTT